GCTGGGGCACACTCCATATGTTTAAGGAGGAGAAGTAGCATAGCTATGAGTAACACCTGGACTTAGTCGCCTGATGGCGGCCATAGCAGGCTCTTTAAACGCACGGTGCTGGTTGGTTTTCCACCGGATACCATCTGGTTCTTCACCAGGTTATTACTCAGTGCCTGGGCTTAGTGCTCTTAGATGGCAGCCATTGCAGGCTCTTTAAACTCACGGCGCTGGTTTTCCACCAGATACCATCTGGTTCTTCACCAGGTTACTAAGCAAGAGCATTGCTCTTATCAGATGCAGAGTTGGAGCGGGGGACTCAATGTGCCTTTCAGGTGTGTAAGACAATAGAGAATGATCTTATGAGGATAGTATAATCCCCTGCACTAGTAATATCCTGATTGTTGGACCCATGGGTTTCCTCTGACTCTTCGTTTTGTAAGTTACACACTAACTTTTAACATTCACTAAGATTATTATTCTTAAAGGCTCAAAGATTTATAAAGGCTCAAAGATTCATTAACAATCAAACAAGCAATGATTTACACAGCTTCACTATTACTTGGAAGGGAATCACTAGGAAGGGCAATTTACACATCATAACAAATGTTCATTAGGAAATTAATTACACATCATAACAAATTTAACAATCAAACACTGATTTACACAAATTCACTATCAATTGGAATGGAATCATCTAACTTAGAAATCTATCTATACAGAAGCATCTAATCTAGAAGAAGCAGAAAATATAGAGGAATTTACACATAACAAATTTTCATTGGGAACTTACTGATTAACAGATTACTGATTAACAAGATAGTATAGGATGACTATTGAGAATAGATTGTCACGAGGGAAACCATAGCTAGAAACAGGTTTTCAGGTGTAAATGGGGCACCTGTAGTTGAGAGGATATGTTCAGCTTTGGAGGAGAGGGCTTTCAGACCTCCCCATGTTACCGGTATTGCAGATTTCTGTTGTTCAGTGTCCATCCCCAGGGGAAGGGGTGATTTCGGGTCGGATGGCGGCCCTTCAGTGTTCATCCCTGGGGGAAGGGGTGCCGGTGTCAGTTGCGGCTCTGGAGTCGAGTCAGATTGCTGCCACCGAAGGGGTGGTGGTGGCGGTTCAGAGAAGGGACGGGGCGGAGGCACAGGGCAGATTGTGCCGGCGCATGGGGTAGCCGCAGCGCGGGGCGCGTCCGGGACTCCTAGTCGCGGCCGGAGCACAGAGCCCGCTCTCGCCTGCCCAGAGCCTTCAGGCGGGGCCGTCCTGGGCGGCGACACCCCAGACGACTGGGCCAAGCCCGGGCAGCGGCAACCCGGGACTGGGCTCAGAGCGCCGCAGGAGGGATGGTGGCGGTGGTTCTGAGAAGGGAAGGGGCGGAGGTGCAGGGCAGAGTGTGCCGGCGTGCGAGGGAGCCACAACGCGGGACACGTCTGGGACCCCTAGTCGTGGCCAGAGCGCAGAGTCCGCTCTCACCTGCCCAGAGCCTCCAGGCGGGGCCGTCCCGGGCGGCGACACCCCAGGCGACCAGGCCGAGCCCGGGGAGCAGCAACCCGGGACTGGGCTCGGAGCACCATGGGAGGGATGGAGCAGGGGCCGCGCCACAGCCGGAGCGGGAATCCAAAGTGGACCTGTAGGAGACAAAACAGTCGCATACCCTCACCCCCAGGTTAATAATTCTGCAGGTCCTTGCCAGACAGAGGGATTTTGAGGATCTGTATAGAGGACCTGCGGGCGAGGTCGGGTGTCAGAGGGGATAAAATGTCGTTCTGCAGCAGTGCGACCATCTTTGGCAACCGATAAAAAATTAAAAGTAAAGAGAGCTTTGGCAAGTCTTTCATTTTGGTCACATACTCTAGACCCATCATCTTCCCCCTTTTGTTCATTTAAGAGCTGTTTGAGAGTATAATGGGCACGTTCAATTATGGCTTCCCCTTGAGGGTTATAAGGAATGCCAGTGGAATGAAGAATATTCCAAGTGGCACAAAATTGTTGAAATTTAGCAGAAGTATATGCAGGATCATTATCAGTTTTAAGGGCTTGGGGACATCCCATAGTTGCAATGGCTTGGGTGAAATGACGACAGGCATGAGTAGAACGTTCTCCAGAAAGGGCTGTAGCATAGAGAAACCCAGAATATATTTGCCAAATGAAAGCCTTTACTACAGCGGGGACACTTTCAGGTTGGAAGTTTAGTGTTGACATTTTTGTTTTTTAAACTGTGACAGACTTTCTTAAAATGTCCAGGTTTACCGCACCCAAAACAGGTGGCAGTGGATGGACGGAGAGCTGCCGCTAATACTTGTGCCTTATGAGTTTCTGTGCCAACATTTTGACATGCTCTAATAGCTTCTTCTGACACCTTATGCTGTTCAGAAGAAAGAGAGTTCCCCATAGTGAGGGAGAAACAGAAAATGAAGGAAAGAATGATAGGAAAGCTCCTGGCCTGAAGCCTGAAATCCCTTGGGAACGGTCAGGAAAGACCTGCCGCTCTGGGGCTAAAGCAGCCGGATCTGACAGCGTTCAGGAAAATTCCGCCTGCGGAAAAACCCCGCCGCTCTTGGGCTGTGCCTTTAAACAGCCTGAAACAGACGTCCAATACTCACCATCTAAAGGGATTGAGTGCGAGGGCGCCTATGCAGCTATACGGCGGTCTGCCCTCGGGGCACCATCTGTTGCAGCGGCGACGGTTGTTGGGGCGGTGAAGACAATAACCAATGCCACAACTCTTACAGAGAAGTGGGGCCAGGAGGGTCACTCTGAGGAGTCGAACCTCGGCTTCAGTCCCAGGAGTTTATTTTATAGTCAGTACAGCAAACAGTGAAGCAAATAACAGAACAATGGGCTTTGGGTGAATAACAATAAGTTTCGGGCAAGGGAGAAGGAATTCAGGTAAACAGGCCAATCAGTAACGGGACAGTAGGTTTGGGAAAACAAGTCGTGACAAGTCTCAACATGTTGGGGACAAGTCTCAACATGCTGTGCAGCATAGAGGCCTGTGGGAGCTGCAGTTGTCAATAGTGCAGCCGTGTTTAAATGGCATATATCCCCACATCTAGCTTCTTTTATTCTCTAACATGCATAGTACCAAGCAATATTCAAATGTTTATTTATTTTTATTATACTTTAAATGAAGGTTTACATAGCAAACTAGCTTATCATTAAACAATTAATACACATATTGTTTTGTGACATTGTTTGCCAACCCCATGATGTGTCAACACTTTCCTCTTCTCGACCTTGGGTTCCCCATTACCAGCTTTCCTGTACCCTCCTGCCTTTTCGTCCTTGCCCCTGGGCTGGTGTGCCCATTTAGTCTCATTTTGTTTTATGGTCCTGTTTAATCTTCGGCTGAAGGGTGAACCTTAGGAGTGAATTCGTAACTGAGCTACAAGGGTGTCTGAGGGGCCATGCACTTGGGGTTTCTC